GTATGAATGTACGGCAAGACGATCGTAATATGCCGCGCTAGCTGGCGCCGTCGGGCGACGCCGCGTTCCGATAGACGAGTTCTCCTACCTGGCCTTCTCAATCTGAGTGTTCAAGAGGCGGGAAATTTGTTATCGCTCGTCATGGAGTCTTGCCGCTGCTTGAATTCATGTGTTCGCATGCAATCGACACACTGACTAAAATCGATAATTTGCCGCGCACGGCTGCAGGATAAACCGCGTGCGACGACGCGACAAAATACGATTTCTTGTCCGTCTTCCTCAGAAAATAGCACTGTTCTAACCTAAACTATAACAAACCAATCAGAAAGTAAAAATCGCACCTCTATGTCTTGCGGTTCTGCTAACTGGAAATCGTTGACCAGTTTTGCCATAGTCCCAACAGTGTAACTCTTATCGGAAACATATAACCGAAATTGAATCAACGGAAACTTCCCGTCTTTTTGGATGGGGAGAAGAGGCTAAAAATAAGCATAAAGGAAAGATTTAGGTGATAATGCTAGAGTAAGCATGTTGTTATTATTATTACAAAATTATTACACTACTTATTACAAAATGAAAACAAGTGGACTGCCTACCTTTCCACATGCGAGACCTTTTTTACAGGAAGGAACTGAATATATTCTATAGAAAGTAGCAACCATAGATGCAATATAATACGCTGTTAAAATACTTAAAATGGTCGACAGGCTGAACCAAGACCCCATCTGCAACAAACTTCAGAGATTATGCTAATGAACTAGTCTCATAAAATTGAAACAAAAGAAAAATATTGTGGAATAAAACCGAAGAAAAAGCACCACACTGCATCAAAAGATAACATTTTAATGAGCGACTGAAGACACTTGTACAAAATGAGCAATTGGTAGTACTTGTGAGAAATTAAGGCGAAATAATCGTTAGTTAAGATCACAGGAGATTAGACCATTACTTTAGAGAAATATGGAATGAAAGTGAGCAAAATCAAGTGAGTCACATGAGATCAGAAAGACACAACATTTTGAATATGCCTATCAGCATAGTAGGAATGCCTTTTAGGCAAGTCCACTTTTGAAGTGAGCCATCCCTTCACTGAAGGTGCGCTAGCCTCCTGCTCCTCCCTGCAAATTGCAAAAGTAGCAGATGGAACATTGGCATAAAAAGGCTTAATTGATTCCACTCACCATTCTGCCTTCACACAGTTCTTGTCCACTATAACCTCGGCAGTTTTCCACGAGAACCGCACTAAAGACGAGTATCCAAATATGGGATCCAGACTGTCAACCAAGAACTTCTTTGTATTTGGATCTGGAAAACTATCAAACGTGATAAAATGCTCCATCGGCACTAATCCAACAACGATTCGCAGTACTATACGTCAATTCCAATCTTACGCGTTGGAAAATGCCACGCGTCTCGTGAGGGGACAGTGACGTGGGAGGGGAAGAATCTCCCGACTGGGTGACCGTCGTATGCTGGGGAGGGTTATTTCAGCGAGGGAAGTACTTTTGCAGAAAAACTCCGGAAAATGGAGGAAAGTCGAGAAAATGTGGGAAGATGATAGGTAAGATGAAGGATCAGGTCGTTCCAGATGGGGAAATTTTGAGTGGTGGGAACGTATTTGCAAAAATTCCCCGAGACAGGACGTGCTGCTGGGTGAACCACTTCTCACGAGCTGAGAAAACTGGTTTTTCAGAAGGTCCTTCACCCACTCCTTTCCCCGGGGCCTATGCTCATGCAAATAACCGCTGCCTTATTCTTTCTTCTTTCGTTTTTCATCACAGTTTCCTCATAAAATTCGTCGAGTCTGATACCCCTTTCGCATACTGATGAGCACAGGAGTGAACTATGCTTTTGTTCGGCTTCTGTCTGAGAACAGATGCAGCACGGTTGCTAAACTACTTCTTGGCTCTCAATCCTCCTTCCTCCCCTCAACATTTCTCATTTGATCGATTTTTCAAATAGGCCGATGACTTTACTTCATGAGAAACCTATCTCACAGTAGCAAACGCCGTAAAACGAAAGGAAAATTGAAGAAATTGACTGATAGGGATGTATGTCATAAGGTTCGATTTCCTTGTTAATGACTTTTATGAGAAGTTGAGAGACGTGTTCAGATATCCCGACACGTAATATTAATGTTGATTGGATTGCGACCCATACTAGCGCCATCTCAGCAAATAAAGGGAACAATATTACAAGTGCATACTGTAACATAATTAATCAAAATTAATCAATAAAAAACCAACCTCCTGGGTAACCGCTACCGTAACCGCCTGCCGGAATTTTCACACCAGGTTCGGCGAAGTTCCAGGCACGTAGACGACGGTCACGCGTGACCTTAGCAGCTATAGATGCAGCACTAACAATAGGAAATAGAGCGTCAGCTTTTTCGGTTACCTAGAATACCGTATCTGAACGTTCTGGTTTCCAGAATAATCTTTACACTGGAGAAAACGTAAACAGTTTTTAGAGGTCGAAAGCGTGAGAATATTACCGTGATAGAAATCCCAGGAAAAATCTTCTCAAGTTTAGATTGGTACGTTGCCTTCGGTCCTACCGTATCCACTTTGATCTGCAAAACTATTACTACAGCATGTTACCCGTGCTGTTATGGTAAAGCACAATCCATTCGAATTCGATTTATTAGGATCAATTTAGCCTACTTTACTTCTGCTAACTACTGAAATATTACTGCAACGTACCTCTACAACATTTACATTTGATGATAATGCATCGTGTATAAGACTTATAGCAGCATCATGCGATATTTCGTTGAGAGAACACTTTGACCGTTTCATCATGGAGGTACTAATATGTTGGGCAGACAAACAGCATATGGCATACGCAACAACCTGGAAACGATTCAGTTCCGAACCCGTCATGACCATGAGCAAAAATTGCTGTTCTGCACGACCCCCTACAACTCGACCCTCAATTAGGTCCAACTTCACCTCTTTTTTTACCTCTTTTCACCTATAGTTCAGAGAAAAGATTTCTTCGAGCGAGGGTGTATTTACAGAGGATAAACTCTTCGCCATTTATCAGTCCCACTTAGGCAGCATTCCACTTCAATGCAGAATCGTAGTGGCTCACTGAAAAGCGGTCTATACGAGAGCTTGTGCGGGCCAGCCGAGGTACAAGTCAGTGTTTTCATCCTCCTATGCGAATGGTTCCCTCCAGGGGGGAGAATGCTTGGCTGGTTGCACCGGGAAGCGGAATAAGCGACCTTGTCATTACAGACCAAACCTCGCGACGCAGGGGAAAGGCTTACTGACTACAATGCGGACAGCGCAAAACTTTAAGCACAGATGCAGCTTCATTTTGATAGCTTAGGTCTGAGTAAAGCGCCTGGACAAAACACGATCAGGAAGGTGACAGCAAAAGACAACGAGAGAATACCCAAATTGCGCCATCGCCATCGCGCCGATATATTTTAGCAGCTAGTATGAAATTACAAGCAATTCACAACACGTTATCTGATTCGGTCCTGCGCGTGCGGTTTTTTGTGCCGCTTTTTGTGCCGCTTAGGCAAGCACTTGCTTCCACTTGACTCTGCCGAACCAAACGTCCCAAATTTACAAACAGCAAAAAAGGACCACCTGCTTGGTTGCTTCGTTGCTATTCATGTCATCGAAAATTTCTTCACGTTTAGTCTCGGTGAGAGCTTTCGAGTCCGCAACGCCCAACTCTCGCAGTTCATTGTCTCTGTCTATAGGAGAGATAGCACATCCATAAACCATAGGCCCGAGAACTGGTCCTAAAAATAGAACCGTAGTGGACTAGGGTGACGAAGGCGTGTTGTACATTGGGGAAACCCAGCGAGGGGGTCGTAATGCATTTGAGAAGGATGCTTTCGGTTGTTCACTTTTCTCGGCTTTCCTCCCTCACTAGGTCCCACCCTTCGTTTTTTGTTTGTTTTCAAAGTTTTCAAGGTTTCCACAACGGGAAGAGTTCGGTTGTGAGCGGAAGCTGAAAGAACGATAAAAAGCCACATCAGTCACCTTAACAATACTTATTCTACAAAAGCCAAACACCGGCTAGTGCCAAACAGTCAGAGCTTACAAACCAGAGTGAATAAGAAAAAGTGCAGTACTGCGCACTGCGCCACGTCAGCTTCGTGAGTTCATAGACCATTAGCAGAGGAGAGAAATGAAAGTACATATGCAGCAGAAGGATCAATACATATTTAACACGTGCACATGCGTTCGCAACTACTGGAAGGCATCCGCGGTGACTAGGGGTTCAACTCGAAGAAACTTTTGAGGGGTTCGCTGATGGTCTCGAGATGTATTGGAAGTAGCAACAAAGTGACCTACAACCACGGACGAACCCCTGATGAGTCCTGAAAGTATAGGTTGCCCGAGAAATCAATCTGGATTGTTTTATCATGATAAGCGCTGTCCAACGACACAGTTCCTGCTATAAAGTTATCTTAAAAATGCTGTTGTAGACAAAACCCAGGCGGGACTCAAACCCGCATTTCACCTTCATGGCTTCTCTTCTCAATGCAGGAGACTCCCTCGAATACCCCAGCAATGCCATTAGGGCCACACTAACAAGGGAGGTCGTTCATGGTGTGGTGCGCTTTTTGAATACGGTTTTCTTTATATCTTAGGGACTCATACAAGGACCTGAAAAACGGCTTCATCATCGTTGCGTTCCGAAAAAGTCAAGAAAAATTTCTTGGCTCAAAATATTGCTACGGGAGTAATGGATAGTCCTGATCACGATTCTGGCACTTATTTTCGGTGACGAATGATGCCATCATGGCGCCGAACAGCCCGGGTCTGTGAATATTAATGTGAATTCGAAATGAGGAAGCATTTTTGTTTCATGAACGAAGGACTGTTGGGTTTTTCGTGCATGTTTTTGTTGGAACAATGGATTCAGACAAACACCAGCGCAAAAAATAAAATATAGGAAAGCAAGGTTTTGTTCCCATTGGGACCCGAACGTCAACCTTCTTTTTACGCGTCTTTGGTGTTCCCAGAAGCGCGCAGCGAAAGTGGACGTCACTTTTCTGGTTCTCGGATGTTCCTTATAATATGCGAAATACCGTTTTCAAAAAGCGCAGCAAGCATTGAACGACCTCCCTTGTAAGTATGAGCACCACAAGATTTTCAAAACTTCCAGTCCTGACTGCAAAACGCGGATCCTAAGTGTCCTAAAATGTCAGCGGTCAAACTGCATATTTCAGAAGACAAATGTATGAAAAGAAGTAAATGTCAAATGTACTAGGAAGGCAGTGTGAAAGAACGAACCTCGACCTGCCTCATCGATCCCGAGAACACACGGGACACCATCTCCAAAGCCTACCCACGTCTCGCTCCTCTCGATCTCAGCTCGTGGTTGGCAAACAGACATCTGAATTCGAAACTCATCAAAATAAAAAAAAAACCCGCATGGTTCGTTTCATTTATGACCAAGCGAGTAAAGGCGGGTCTCCAATTGGAAGAAGATAATCTCACGTTTCCGAAGGCAAACGAAATGGAAAACTCTCTTATATGAGCTGGTTGGGGCAACCTATAGAAGAGAATTGTTAAACACGAAGATAATAGAAAATGCCACCACGTCCACCATTTTTTGAAAAATGGCCGTATCCGTATCACACACTTTTGGTGCAATTCTGCGTCCTTGCGGACTTGCTTCTTCTTTGGCCTCGTTCGTTCACGTCTCCCTCGCTGACCAGGTAGTATTTCCTCATCGCATTTCCGGGCGACTATTTGAAGGGAGGCAAATAAGGTAGAGGGAAGAGAGAAAAGAAGGAAGGGAAAAGGATGGAGAGGAAGGCTCCTCGGTTGACAAATATTCCAAGGATCCCACTGAATCTGCAGAACAGGGAACAGTGTAATTCGTGTCAGGGCACGTCCTGCTGCTGGGTAGCTGGGAGGGAAGGGGGCACCATTGAAATGGGAAAGACCGCGCAAAGTCAACGACCGGAAAAAAATCCTCGCAACGTGACAAAATTTCCCTCGAAGGCAGATACGACCCCCCCCTCTCCCAACGAAAGGCAAACACCTCCCTCTCCCATTAAAACTTTATCAGCGATGTGAAAAGCGCCTGTGAAACAGGAGATATCAGCTATCAGAC